TGGGGTTAAGTGACTTGCCCAGGGTCACACAGCTAGTAAGTGTCAGGTCTGAGGGACTGGATTTGAACTCAGTTCCTCCTGACTTCAGGGCTGGTGCTCTATCCACTGCGCCACCTAGCTGCCCCCTTTTACATTTTTTTTCTTTTTTAGCTAATTGGGGTTAAGTGACTTGCCCAGGGTCACACAGCTAGTAAGTGTTAAGTGTTTGGTCTGAGGCCATATTTGAACTCAGGTCCTCCTGGCTTCAGGGCCAGCACTCTATCCACTGTGCCACCTAGTTGCCCCTTTTTTCTTTTTCTGTTTCTTTTTTTTTTTAAGGTAATTGGGGTTAAGTGACTTGCCCAGGGTCACACAGCTAGTAAGTGCCAAGTGTTTGGTCTGAGGCCGAATTTGAACTCAGGTCCTCCTGACTTCAGGGCTGGTGCTCTATCCACTGTGCCAACCAGCTGCCCCCTCTTCACGCAGTCTTACCTGACCCTCCCTTACCTGACCTGACCCTTCTCTTTCTTCCCAAATATTCCTAGAGGATGTTATCTGTTCTCTTTTCACTCATAACTTCCTACTATAATTTATACTTAGCTGGTATGTAGATTATACTCCTTTTCCTCAACTCCTAATCTCAGTAGACTACAAGTTTCTTGATCTTTGTTTCATGATTGCCTATAACAGTGACTTGCATACATATGGCACTTAAGGTTTGTTGAACTGAGCTGGATATGGGGAAACAAAGGTGACAAATGTTTCCAGACAAGAGTCTTGAAAAAATAGTGATAGTACTGATTCTATTCAATTTAACAATTTTTTTGTTCACTAGAAATTGTTCTGTAGGTAAACAAGTAGAGTTTATTTTGGAAAGAAAACTAGAAGAAAGGATACAAGAAGACAGGGGAAGCCTAAACATTCCATTTTAATGTTATTAAATGTGTAGGGGTACTGGAAATGCAGAACTAGAATTAGGAATCAGGATTTGAGAGTCAACCCCAGAGAAGTGATAGTTTCAGTCACAGTAGCAAAAGACTTCTAAAGGGAAGAGAACGCAGTAAGCCCAGCTGAAGACAAAGTCACATAAGCGGATCATCCACAATTACCAGAGGAAGGAAGAAAAGGAAGAGAAGTCAAATCAAAGACAGAAGAAGAAAGCCAGGGAAGTACTATGTTACAGTAACCAAAGGAACAATAAGTTTCAAGGAGTGAGTTGTCAATGTTAGATGTGAAGTTGAGGTCAAAGAGGACAAGGACAATATTTTTTTAAAATCATTGAATTTGGCAAGAAAAACACTAGTAACCTATGAGTGAAGTTTCAGTGGGGTGTTAGGGATAGAAACCAGACTAGAGGGAAAGAAAGAGTAAGTGAATTCAAGTCCTTATCTTCTATGGTCTTACCTGAAATAACTTCATACTCCTGTGAACATTATGCTTTTTAACTTTCCTACTGCATTTTTACATCATACCATGGACATTCATCGCATATATGTTACATGTGCATATATATGTATGTATGTATACACACATCCTCCCCCCAATCACTTCCCCTACTAGACCCTGTAAGAGGATTTTATCTAACTTTTAAAAAACTAATTACTTTTATTCTGAACTTAAAAATGAGATTAAAAAAAAACATAACAATAATATAGTGCTTTAAGTGTTCAAAGGGCTTTACATGTTATCTTACTTGATTCTTAACTTAACCCAGTTAGACAGGTACTATTATCCCCATTTCATATGTGATAAAACTGAAACAGACAGAAGATAAGTGACTTGCCAGGGTCTGAGGAGGATTTGAACTTAGAAATTCCTAACTCCAAGTCACAGAAGAACACAAAAGAGGATTACTGAATATTTATTTCATGCCATATATAATATATGCCACATTACTTTCAAAACAGTCCTGTTTGTACTTTCTAACTTCCTTCTATTCTCTTCCGTACATTTAAAAATTTTTTCCATGGCCATCTTTTTTGGGGGCGAGGGGCCTCACTATTACCACCCTCTTCCCACTGACGCCACCACTACTACCACCACCACCACCACCAAGGAGGGTTAAAAAACAAAACAAAACAAACCACAACCCACTACATACATCCTTGTACCAAAGAGGTATATATACAAGTTAAAATATACAAAAAGCAGCATGTAAAAAAAGAGCTTTCCACACTGAATCCATCATCTCTCTTTCAGGAGGTGGGGAACATGTTTCACTATCCTTTGGAGACTCAACTCATTTGTCATTGCATTAATCTGAGTTCTTAAATCCTCCAAAGTTGTTTTGTTTTACAATGTTATTTATTCTTATACAAACTGTTCTCCTGGGTTTGCTCACTTCACTTGACAAGCAGATATTCTTACTACTTAGGATTCACTGAAATACCTTTTTCACCATTTCTTCCAGCATACTACTACATTATAGTCATATAATACAATTTGTTCAGCCATTCCCCACCTGATGAGCACCATATTAGATTCTAATTCTTTTCTTTTCTCCCTCCATCCCAAATCTTTTAATCTCCCCATAATTATCAGGAAGTTTGTTCCTGTTGTTCTTGATTTCTGTTTGGTCCATTCTAGTTTTTAAGCAATTCATCATTTGGGTTAAGGGCTACAAAATTCTTCTCTAAACTATTCTCCTTCCAATTCTTTGCTCCAGAACTTCTATTTTATTGCTTATGTCTTACATTATCCTTGTGGAAAATGTTTTTTTCATCTGAGTCTCTGCTTAAAGTTATTACAATCACTCTCCCCTTCTTTGGAGGGATTTCTAGATTTACAACAATTTTTTATACCGGCAGGTGTCTTCTTGGGTTTCCCTGATGCTTCCTGATGTGTATTTAGGTGCAGTATCTGGCCTTGTTTGGTCTTACCCTGAATCAGTTAGGTTCCTGTGCTGACCTCCACTTCCCAGGATTATTAGGCCACCCTGGATTTTCGAATGAAAAACATTCCCTGTTCTTAAGGAACATACATTCTACAGAGGGATCAAAAAAGTAAAGAGACAAAGATACAACAATCTAACAAGTGAGAAAAACTAACTACTTGGGGGATCAAGAGAGGCTTCACGGAGGAGGTGGCATCTGAGGTGAGCCTTAAAGAATGTTAAGTAGTTGTGGTAGTGAGTAAATTCCAAGTATGCAGAAGAGCCTTTACAAAAGCATGGAAGTGGAAAATGAAATACTGAGTTCTAAGAACAAGCAAGCCAATCTGGCTGGAACAAAAAGTGAATTAAGGGGGATAATGTGAAATAAGTGTAAAAAAGGAGAATGTGATCAAACAGGGAGGGTTTTAAATTCTAAGATGGAGAGATCTTATTACAGAGAATTCTTGAACAGAGTTGTGGCATGGGCAGACCTATGATGCAGAAAGGATATTTTAGCAGCTTTGGACAAGATGGCTTGAAAAGAGGAATGAATGACAGTAGGGAAGATAACTGGGAAGCTATTGCTGTACTACAGAGCCAAAAAGACAAATTCCCAGGGATAGAATAAAGGGCACAAATGGAAGAGTTAGCTTTATAAAGGAGAAGGGTCACTTCTCTGTCAGAGAAAACAACTAGAAGAAAGAAAATCACATGATGACCAAACAGGAGTTCTGAGGTAGAGAACAGAGAGAAGGGGGAACTTACAATGTATAATGTCTATTTTCTAAGTCAAGTAAGTCACAAGAGGAATTGTGGTCTTCAATGGCATGGAAAGCTTGAGAACAGAACAGATTTACACTTATATGCTGTCTCTCCTGAAAGAATATAAGCTTCTTGAAGATAAGGATTGTTTCATTTTTCATTCTGTATTCCCAGGACAAAGTACAGAGCTTAGTACATATTAAGCACTTAATTTTTTTTATTATTTACAACATACACGGTGAGGAGCACTACAGTCAATCAGAGGGTAATTCTGAGAGGAAGATCCAGGAGGAAACAAGAAGGGATTGGGTCTAAAAGAGAGGGTAGAAATAGCCTTAATGAAGCATGAATAATGGTCTTCTGTATAACTAGTTTAGATACTCTCTAATTTAAAAATGAGTATATCGTATTTAATTCCATAAACTCCATTTAATTCAATAAGCATTTATCCAATAGATATATGGAATTACATAGCACTTTGCAGATCAAAGATAATACCTTAAATATAAATTTAAAGTGAATCAATAATAATAGATTGATCCTCACAATAATCTTGTAAAGTGCTATTATCCTCATTTTATAGATGAGAAACCTGATGCAGATAAAAGTTAGCCAGGGTCCCACAGCTAGTAAGTGTTGGAGGATTTTCACTCCTGCTTCCTGACTACAGATATAGACCTCTCTACCCACTATGCTCCTTTGCTGTCTCAACAGTTCGAAGAGCCTAAGATATACAACTGTTAAATTCCACAATGTCAACTCTGAACGTAGCATTTATGTCCAGTATATAAATATAAATAAACAAATAAAACTCCCCCCCCAAAAAACCCTGTAAGTCAATATCAAATCCATGATTCTGTCTCAATAGAATTTTATAGACAGTTTTTCACTTAAAGGGTTTGATGCTAATTTTTTTGACAAATTTTTCAACCATATCAAAAAATGGTGCCACCTCACACCAAAGACTATACAACCTTCTAGATAAAGGAATCTTTTGAACAATCTTTCAGACATAATTACTAAGTTATATTGATGCAACCCAAATATCTATTATAATAGAAAACAAGCACAGAATCATATAAAAGAGGGGTAAGACAAGATAAACAGTTTATAACTTTTGAAACTCTTTCCATTTTAGTCATTACGTGTTATCTTTTTAGGCACATAATCTTTTATAAATGTTATTAAGAAGCAATAAAATGATGATCCTCCTCCTCCTCTCTCACCCAAACTAGTCCTATGTTGGAAGCTTTAATGAACATGTGCTTTCTAACCTAAGAATGGAGAGAAGAATATAAAATTACACAAAATGGGTAAGTTTTTAAATATGTCATATTTGGTTTTTATATATATGCATATATGTCAATTATTATAGAGGATTACTTACATTTGCTTAAAAAGTTGTCAATATTTTTGTTTTTTCTTAGTGCAGGAAAATCCAAATCATATACCAAAGCATCCAACCCATCCTAAAAAACAAGCCAAAAAAAAAAAGAGATCAGTTTTCTTGACTACTTGAATAAAACTTTTTCCTCATTCACGTTCATGATATGTCAAATGCCTTGAATTTTTTTTTGCATACATTTTAAGAATACCTTCATTCTTACAATCAGCTTGCAGCCTGGTTGTATTATGCTGAAATTCCTAAGGAATCAACGTTCAACAATCTAATCAAGACTTAAGAGCTAGAAATCACTTCAACAAGACAAGAACAGAAGCAGTTGGATAGCAGAAGATTATCAACATAACAACAATACAATGGAAGGAACAGCAAGTTTCAGGGATGTAAAGAAAGCAGAACTGAGAAGATAAAGATGGAAATCTATAAAAAATTTATCATAAGCTTTTCACCATCAAGAACAGTAGGGCCACCATGATTGAATGGATTCTAACATGACAGTATTCAAGGTGCTACAGGTAGAAAGATAAGCTGGATCAGACAAAGTATAGATAGAGAAATTCCATGAGGAGATTTGAGTCCATCAGAGACTGAATTTGAACGTATCTGAAAAATGAAAATAAGCTAAAGATTTCTGTGTGGGGATGGGTGGAATCTCATATCAGGAGACACTTGTACATAAGATACAAAGTACATACAAGGTAACGGGGGGGGGGGGTGTTGGTGGGAGGTGGGGAGGCCTCCTGCTCAGTCTTGAAGGAAGCCAGAGTTTCCAAGAAGGGAGAGCATTTAACCATGAGGGACTGCTAGTATAAAAGCATGCAGATGGAAAATATGGTACATATTAGGCACTTAATAAATGCTTGCTGAGGAATAGCAAACAAACCAAAAAGTGTGTTCGAGGGTAATAATATGTAAGACCACCAAAAAAGTAGAAAAGGGTCAGATTGTAAACAGCTTTAAATTCCAGACAGAGCAGTTTATGATGTTTGAATCTAGGGACAACAGGAGGCTACTGGAACATGTTCAGACCTTCACTTTAAGAAAATTAGTTTGGCAACTGTGTAGGAGATAGATGTGAGTCAAGACTTTAAGCAGAGACCAAAGAACAAAATGGTACCCCCTCAGCTTTATAAAAACAGATGATATCTGTAAAGAGTTTTGTAAACCTTAAAGTGCTATATGAATGCATTATTGTTAATATTATTATGACTTTCTACATATAATAACTCAATCTAATATAGTGCTTTAAGGTATAACTTAACACTTTCTTCACAACAACCTTATGATAGATGACAGAACTGAAGCTCAGGTAAGTTCAATAACTTGTCCATGGTCACCCAGCCATTACATGCAGCAGGATTTGGATCCAGAACAACTTTTCCACCAATTCACACACATGTTGAATGAGTCACATGCCCATTGCTTATATTGCAAGGTAAGGGAGGCACATCTTCTACTGGCCTGAATCCTTGCCCACATCTCTTAGACATAATAATAATAGCAGCTCACATTATCATATTGTTTTATGGTTTTACAAAGTGAGTTCCACACAACAAGACTGCAAAGTAAATATTTCAGGCATTATCACCCCTATTTTACAAGTGAAGAAACTATAACTGAGAAGGGTTAAGTGGCCAGGGTAACACAGTAATCAGTGAAGCTAGGATTTAAATTCAAGATCTCTCCTTTTGTCTCGCCACTTCATTTCTCCCCCTCCCCTCCTCTTCATCACTAAAAATAGAGAAGATGTGCTGTGGTGAGTGGTGGGAAGAGATCCCCTAAAGCCTCCATTCCCAAAGGGTTTTTATACACTTCGCTCTTCAACGCTACTGTGCATTTGTGGATGGATAAGCCTAAAGATGTTACTAGCCAACAAGCACTTAGCAGTTTAGGTGGCGTTGTATATGAGTTCAAATCCAGTCTTGGGTGTAGCTGTGTGATCCTGGACAAATCACTTAACTCTTCTCAGTCTCAGTTTCTCCTCAGCCACTCAAATCCCTTCTATCTTTGTCCTTATGGAGGTAGCATAGTTGATAAACTTTGTAAATTATAAAGGGAGATGGCCAACTGGTATGGAGGGAGGAATGGGGAGAGGAGTGGGGAGTATGGGGGAAGAGGAGAAGAAAAGTAAAGTGAGAATTACCCATCTGTGTTATTAGCCTTCTCAGCTAGTAAAAAACAGAAGACCTCAATCTCCCACTTCATTTCCCGCTCCAAATATTCTCTTTACTGGATGGATTCTCTTTAAAATACTAAGCTTTAAATTTTTGTGTAGCAAAAGCCAATATACTTTCATGGAAAAAAAAACCCAACACCTCTCAAATAACTTGCTGAAATTTTTATACAGCAATACCGTGTAATTATTTTTTGGGAGGTTCTCTCCCCCCTCCCCCAAGGAAGCCAAATACTTACCACACAACAATATGAGAGCAATCAGTAAGTAATGAAACCACAAAAACAATTGCACTTTATATACCATCTGTTGCAAAAGATGAGGCAGAGAAAATTTATGAACTCAATCTGACTCTCAAAACTAAATCAACATATATTTGGGATTCTTAGGTAAGCCTAAGTGAGGAATGGTTCCAATGTAAGACATGAGAGTCCAAAGATTTGTGGACTACACAGATGCCTCACATCTATTCATCATGAATACTTTCTTCCAGAAAAGTCTTCATGTCAGAAAATAGGAAATGGATGGAAATATCCATGCTGTTCTTCACACAAGACACCACATTACCAAACTCCAAGCATTTTCACTGGCTACTCCCCATGCGTGCAACGCTCTCCCTCCTCATCTCTGCCTCCTGGACTACCTGGCTTCCTTCAAGTCCCAGATAAAATCCCATCTTCTACAAGAAGACTTTCCTGACCTCCCTTAATGCTAGTGCCACTGCTCTATTGATCATCTCTAGTTTATCCTGTGTATATCTTATTTGTGCATAATTATTTTCATGTTGTCTCTCCTATTGTACTATGACCTCCCTGAGATCAGGGATTGTCTTTTGCCCTCTTTTGTAATGCCAGTCAGTGCCTGGAATATAGTAGGTGCTTAATAAACACTTACAGACAGACTGAGGAAATAACATCAACATATACAATGACTTCATATAGAAGTTTAACTGACTTGAATCAAATGCCAAAGAAAAGTATGACCAAAAAATTAAGAAGGGCTAGTCAAGTGGTATGAGGAAGACATAATGATAGAAAGTCCATATAATCCACTTGTAATTTCTCAATATCAAAAGAAACAAAAATCTGCAAGCATGAGTGGAAACCTTTTATGGGAGGACATGAACAAGAGTCATACAGTATGGACAAGTATGCATGGGCTGTAATCTACATTGATGAAGAGAGTGATTAGGTCACTGAACCCTTTTCAGTATGATGATGAAGAGAGAATAATCTAAGTGATGCAAAGAAGCAATAAAGGACAAAATAACATCAAGGGATGGCTAGTAGTCCAGTTTGGCTGGAAAGTACACTACATAAAGGGAAAAGAAGTAGAGTGAAATAAAACTAGCCTTGAAGACTAGTCCAAAGATCACACAGATCAATAGCAGGAAGGAATTTCAGAGGTTACCCTGAATTTTATTCTGTAATAATAATAACAGCTAACATTTACACAGCCCTCACTACGTGTCAGATACTGTGCTTTTAAACCCTTTACAATTATCATCTCATTTTATCCTTAAAACTTTGGGAGGTGGGTGCTATTATCCCATTTTATGGATGAGGAAACTGAGACAAACTAGTTAAGTGACTTGCACTTAAGTGCAAATGACTTACTCTGCAAGCAATGGGAATTCAGTAAACATCTTTTTTCCTAAGGAGCAACATTTTCAGTCCTGTGCATTAGAAAGACTATTTTCGCAATAGGCAACAGCATAAAGAATGAACCAGAAAGCTTTAACAATTCAAGGTAAGTTATGATAGAAGCTTTAATAGGGCGATGGCAATGAGGGTAAAAAGGAAGAAGAAGGTGTCAAATGCATTGCAATATAAAATAACTGACACAATTTGGTAAATGCGTGGATTAGATGATCTCTCCTAGCTATAAAGAGGTGGAAAAGCTAGTAGTACCTTCTACCTCTAAAATTCTCTAATTCTCTTATCTAGAATTTCACAATAATTTAAAAAATAATTTAGGTATATATGTACATATATACATATATACACTTTTTTTCTTTGAAGTTACATTGTAAGATGCTGAAGCACAGTTTGTTAATTGTAGCAACTGACATTTTATAGTGCTTTAAAATTTATAAGATGCTTTACATACATTATAATCACTTGGGCCTCACAACAATCCTATAAGTTAGGTACTACAGGTATTATTATTGTTATTTTTCATGTTAGTTTGCTTGTATTGAAGTCAAGGTGAATGGCAGGTCTACAAGAAGCCTTTGGAAATCACCTAATTCAATCATTCATTTTTTAAATAAGAAAACAGACCCAAAGAGAGAATATAATTCATTCAAAAATGTTTAATAAAACCCTACTGAGTTGAGAGTAGTAATGTATATAAAGCATCTTGTAAATTTGAAAACATCATAAAATGTCAGCTACTACTGTTATTAATAAACTACGCCTAAATATCTTATATTGTACCTTCAAAGAAAAATATTTTTACCTAAATTTATCCCTGCCCTTTCATCTTTTTTATCCTATCATGACCTCGTCCATGAATTATTCCCTCTCTTGCACATCCCCCATGTCTCTTTCTTTCTTTTTTAGGCAACTGGGGCTAAGTGACTTGCCCAGGGTGACACAAATAGTAAGTGTCAAGTGTTTGGTCTGAGGCCACATTTGAACTCAGGTCCTCCTGACTTCAGGGCCGTGCTCTATCCACTGCGCCACCTAGCTGCCCCAATGATACACTATTTTGTCTTTTTTTTTTTTTTGATGAAGCAATTGGGGTTAAGTGACTTGCCCAGGGTCACACAGCTAGTGAGTGTTATGTGTCTCGGGTCACATTTGAACTCAGGACCTCCTGACTCCAGGGCCGGTGCTCTATCCACTGCTCCACCCAGCTGCCCCACATATCCTCCATGTCTCAAGCTATAACTATGCTC